TCTTAATAGTCCTCTCTGACTGACCATCTGTCTGCGGATGATAAGCTGTACTCAAATGCACCTTAGTGCCCATCTCTGCCTGAAAAGCTCTCCAAAACTCTGAAGTGAATCTGGGATCACGGTCTGACACTATACTGGCTGGCACTCCATGCAGCCTCACGATCTCTCTCACAAACTTCCTAGCCAAAACAGCAGCTCCATCTGTTTTCTTGATGGCCAAGAAATGTGCGGACTTCGTCAACCGATCCACAATCACTCAAATAGCATTGAAAGTCCTCGAGACAGGTAGTCCAACCACGAAATCCATCGTAATCCTGTCCCACTTACACTCTGGAATGGGTAAACTCTGCAAAAGGCCACCCGGAACCTGATGCTCTGCCTTCACCAAGGCACAAGTGTTGCACTTCGCAACCCAGTCTGCTACATCCCTCTTCATCCCGACCCAATGATAGTACCTCTTGAGGTCATGGTACATCTTGGTCGCTCCCGGATGAATGGAAAACTTGCTCGCGTGAGCCTCTCCCAAAATCTGATGTCTCAACTCCACATCCTTAGGCACACAAACTCGCCCACGAACCAAGATAGTCCCATTCGCAGAGACCTCATACTCAGAACCAGTCACTCTAGTCGCATCCAGCAAACTCTGATCACTCTGCTGAGCAACTCTGATCCTGCTAAGTAGATCCGCCTGATCCACTGCCTCCAAACCCAAAGGCTCCATGCGAAATGGCACACAAACGCAAGGTACTGATCTCGCCAACTAGAGACTCCACATCTCGCTCAACAGCTGAATCATACCTCCGTCTACTCAACGCGTCCGCCACTAGGTTAGCCTTGCCCGGATGGTAGTTAATGCTCACCTGATAGTCCGCCAAGAACTCAACCCAGCGCGTCTGTCTCGCGTTCATCATCGGCTGAGTGAAGATATGCTGCAAACTCTTGTGATCTGTGAAGACCTGTACTGTCTCACCCAGCAAGTAAGACCTCCAAATCTTCAGCAAAGATCACTGCTCCCAACTCTAAGTCATGTGTAGGACGGTTACGCTCACTGCCCTGCCACTGTCTCGAAGCATATGCAATAACTCTGCCCTCCTGCATCAGCACACAACCAAGACCAATGCCTGAAGCATCTGTATACACCGCATAAGGCTTCCCTAGCTCGGGTAACGCCAACACGGTGTAGTAGTCAACATCTCCTTGAGCTACCAAAGCTCTCCTCACACTCAGCTGACCAAATAAACGGACATCCTTCCCAGTCAACTTCGTCATCGGCTGCGCCATAGTAGCAAACCCCTTGACGAACCTCCTGTAGTAGCCTGCAAACCCAGAAAACTCCTGATCTCGTGGCACTACTAGGTCTAGGCCAATCTCTGATAGCCTCAATCTTAGCCGGATCCACAGAAACTCCCTCTGCAGAAACAATGGCCAAGAAATCCCATCTCTCGCTGCCAGAAACTGCACTTGCTCAACTTAGCAAAAAGCTTCTGCTCCCGAAGCTTCTCCAGAACCAACCTCAAGTGAGTCGCATGCTCCTCCTGACTCCTCGAGTATACCAGAATATCGTCAATGAAAATGATGACGAACACGTCCAAATACTCCCTGAACACGTCGTTCATCAATCTCATGAAGGCTGCCGGCGCGTTAGTCAACCCAAAGGCATAACCACAAACTCAAAATGCCCATAACGCGTCCTGAAAGCAGTCTTCCTGACATCTGCCTCATCTATCGGGATCTGATGATAACCCGACGCCAAGTCAATCTTGGAGAACCAAGTAGCACCCCTCAACTGATCCAACAACTCATCAATCCTCGGGAGTGGGTACCTGTTCTTCACAATGACTCGGTTAAGACCTCTGTAATCGAAACAAAGTCTGAAACTCCCATCCTTCTTCTTCACAAACAACACCGGTGCTCCCCACGGTGAAACACTCGGTCGAATGAACCCCTTAAACAAAATGTCCTTTATCTGCTTCTTCAGCGCTGCCAACTCTTCATGTGTTATCATCTGCATGTGCCCATAAACTCCAAATAACGAGACACACCCGCATCTGCAGCCCCCGGCTGCGCAACATCTGCAGCCACATGCTGCACTCCTGCCACTGGAGGTACTCCCGGAGCCCCATGTGGAACCACTGGCGGAAAACGAGCCAATAAGCTGCGTCAGCAACCCCACCACTAAGTCATCACGACCCGAGCCGGAGCGCCACCCCCACCCGGAGCAGCCCCCGCTCCCAAACCAACACTGGCATCACACTGGCCTCACTCGCCAAAGGATACTGACTGGGTCACCGACGCAGTCGCACACTCGGTGCCACACTCTCTCCCGAATCCGCCGGAACACCACGACCTCGGCCCCGGCCTCCACGGCCTCTCGCTCTGCCACCACGGCCTCGAGCACCACGCCCTCTCGCGCCACGACCTCTAGGAGCCCCGTCCATCTCACTGCATGGATCCAAACATGAGCAACTAGAAAGTAGCACAAAACACAAACACCAAAAACTCACCGCGGAATCTCCTTTAGCTGAAGGGGATGATACTAAAGCCTAGCAATTCTAACAGTCCTAAAACCGTCTAGGCTCTGATACCAAAATGAAACAACCAACATTTTTTTTTTAATAATAAATAAATCAATTCTAGCGAAGGTCTTTAAAATAAATAAATAAATAAATTCAATAACAAATAAATCAGCTCAGCGGAAGCAAATAATAATTAAAAAGCTAGCAAAAACAAGCAAAAAATAAAACAAAACATCCTATCATCCCCCTCTTCAGCCTTGATTCCGCGATCACACAAATCTTTTACCTGCAACACATTGGAATGGAGTTGCGTAAGTATTTAATAAATACTTAGTGAGGCAATCACTCTGCCTACGAGCCATTTACGCAATTTACTAGATATTTAATAATATTTATAAACTCCAATAATTATTAAATACCATTTTCCAATTATTAAATAATTTTTAATAATTAAAACTCAATTTCTCAATTATTAAATAATTCTCATAATTAAATAATAATTTTCCATATTTTAAAATAATTAAATAATTATTTTAAACCAATTAATTAATTAAATATTATTTAATTAATTAAATCCGAATTAAATCATTTAACCATTAAACCAATTAAATTAAACCAAAAATCAATTTTCAATTGAACCAGACAAACCGGCTGCGTCAACCAACGCAAGCTTTGCGTCGCCCGACACACGTGCGACAGAAATATCAACAAATCACGCAGAAACACAAATTAACACAGAAATCACCCAAACATCATCACATAAAGTTATATCATAAGAACACCTCAAGAAAAACATTCAATCAATCCAATCTAGTGATTTGCGGACCTACAGTCATGCACTCACCTTGAATTAGATTGAAAACGGAAGAGGAAGAAAAAACAGTGAAGAACAGCAACAGATCCGCCTCAGATTCACCCAAGACCACCACCAAACTCTCCAAAATCGCCCAGCTCTCCTCAGGAACTTCTTCTTTTCGCAAAACGACAAAAGTGAGGAAGCAGAACGGCTGCTCCTTCTTTAAACTCGAAATCAGGGTTTCCAGGCCCTAAACTAGCCCAAACCAGACTTAAATTGAACCGGTTCAATTTTGTAATTGTTATGTCGACCGACGCACACCTTGCATCGCCCGACGTAACCTCTAAAACTCTAGAAAAGGGCTACGGATGTTACACTTTTTCTTTATAATTTTCTTTACATTCTTTTTCCGGTTTTCTACTTCCTCATTCCCCCTTCTCTCTATCTTTATCATCTTCATCTTCTCTGACATCATCTTATTCTAGTTTTCATTTATCTCTTATTTATCTTCTTTACCTTCACATTTTTTTTTCCTTCTTTGTTTTCTTTTTCCTCTTCTTTGTTTTCTACTTCTTCTCAAAGTTTCTCATCTTCTTATCTACCGTCTTTTTTTATTATACTCGTTTTTTATTCCTTCTTCTCTACGTCTTATATTTCACTTATCAATTCATTCGATAGTTTAGATTTTGAAGGATTCGTGAAATAGTTTTTATCTTTATATAGTCGAGATCTATTAAAAATCTATTTAATTTGTGTTGTTATCTTTTGATTATAGAATTGCTTTTATTGTTTTAGTTTTTTTTCTATTTATGACTATATTTTCGAAGGGTAGATATAAATTTATAATCAGTGATTTTAAATTTTGATATACTTCTATTATAATTCAAATTTTAAAAAATGCATCAGACACTAAACCCATCAATATAAAGCCTAAACCCTAAACTCAAACCCCACATTATAAAACCCCCTCCCCCTAATTAAAGAGCCTACACCCTAAACCCAAATCCACATTATAACTCCCCCCTGAACCGCACACCTGAATATCACATTACAAATTAGTTATTGATTTTTGCTTTTACTTTTATTTTATTTTATATTTTTTTTTGTAATTCTTGTTTTCTTATCCCTTTTATTCTTCTCTAGTGATTTCATCTTCTTCTTTTTTCTTCCATTTTTTACTCGCTGTCATCATCTTCTTTTTTTGTGCTTCTTCTTCATCTTCCAATTTTTGTTCTTTAACTGTTTTTTGTGTCTTCATATCCTCCAACTCACTATTATTCTTTTTCTTTCTAATTTTATTTACAATCTATTTCCCATTTTTCTTCTTCCTCATTCCCCTCTCTTTCTATCTTTATCCTCTTCGTCTTCTCTGATATCAACTTTTTCCATCATCTTCTTTCTCTTACTCATGTTTTTCGTTCTCGTATACGTTTTTTATTTCACTTATCAGTTCATCCGATAGTCTAAATTTTTTTAATTCACAAATTCAATTAATATTAGATTAATGCATTTTCTTTTTAATTACTTTTCTTATTTTTGTAATGTGTTTATTTTCCAAGGAAGTAATAGCTTAACATTTTGTTAATTTGATATGAACTTATAAATTGTTAATGCACAAAAAAATTAGTTAAATTTTATAATGATTGTTTTCTTTTCCCTCTTATTCTTTTTCACAGATCTCATCATTTCTTTTTTCTTCCATTTTTTTATTCTTTATCATCATCTTTTTTTTCTTCTTCTTTTTCGAATTTTTGTTCTTCAATTCTTTCTTATGTCTTCATATCGTCCAACTTACTATTCTTCTTTTTCTTCCTAATTTTCTTTACATTCTTTTTCCGGTTTGTCTTCTTCGTCTTTCCCCCTTCTCTCTATCTTTGTCGTTTTCGTCTTCTCTAACATCATCTTATTCTAGTTTTTATTTATCTCTTATTTGTTTTCTTTCTCTGTACATTTCATTTTTTCTTTTTTGTTTTCTTTTTCCTCTTCTTCGTTTTCTTCTTCTTCTCGAAGATTTTCATCTTCTTATCCACCCTCTTCTTTTATTCTACTCGTGTTTTTATTACTTTTTCTCTACGTCTTAAATTTCACTTAACAATTCATTCGATAGTTTAGATTTTCAAGGATTCGTTAAATTTATTTTTATCTTTATATAGTCGAGATCTTTTAAAAATCTATTTAATTTGTGTTGTTATCTTTTGAGATGAATTTGCTTTAATTTTTTTAGTTTTTTCTATTTATGAGTGTATTTTAGAATGGTAGATATAAATTTATAATCAGTGATTTTTAATTTTGATATACATCTATAATAATTCAAATTTTTAAAAATGCACCATAAACTAAACCTGTAATATCCCGATTTGTAATAAATGAGGAGAGGAATAAGATAATTAATTTGGCTACCTATGTCATCAAAGTGCACTTACCTTTTCGGTCAAGGGCCCATAAAGAACTCCAGCGTTAAGCGGCTGGAGTAGTGGAAGGATGGGTGACCGGAAACCTCTGCGAAACCGTGTGAGTTAGAAAAAAACACGGGAAAAGGTCGGGTGATTATTGCAGGGATAGTAAATACATTCTCGGAGCCTCCCAAAAATAATACACCGACTGTCGGACAGGGGTGAGGCCCACGGGCCGGGAGAGGCGTGGGTGACTCACCGGTAGGGACGGCGGGGGCGTTACAAAAACCTACATCCATCATTATAAACTCTAAACCCTAAACCCAAATCCCACAATTAATATAAGCCCCCCCTCCTCCTAATTAAAGAACATACACCCTAAATCCAAATCCACATTATAATTCCCCCCTAAACCGTACACTTAAACCTCTCATTACAAATTAGTTCTTTATTTGCTTTTATTTTTATTTTATTTATAAAACTTTTTTTTAAGTGGTTGTTTTCGTATCCCTTTTATTCTTCCTAATGATCCTATCTTCTTCTTTTTTTCTTTCATTTTTTTTTCATTGTCATCATCTTCTTTTTTTTATGCTTCTTCTTCATCTTCCAATTTTTGTTCTTCGATCGTTTTTTGTGTCTTCATAGCCTCCAACTCACTATTTTTCTTTTTATATTCATTTTTTTTACTCAATATACATTCTTTTTATATCTTCTTCCTCATCTTCGTCTTCTCTGATATCATCTTATTATAGTTTTTATTATCTTTTCTTTATTTTTTTTTGCTTCACATTCCATTTTTTCTTCTTTGATTTCTTTTACTCGTGTTCAAGTTTTCTTCTTCCTCTCGAAGTTTCCCATCTTCGTTTCCATCTTTCTTTTCTCTTACTCATTTTTCGTTCTTGTCTACGTTTTGTATTTCACTTATCAATTCATTTATAGTCTAGATTTTGTTAATTCACAAATTCAATTAATATTAGATTAATGCATTTTCTTTTTAATTATTTTCATATTTTTGTAATGTGTTTATTTTCCAATGAAGTAATAGCTTAACATTTTGTTAATTTGATATGAACTTATAAATTGTGAAAGACACAAAAAATAGTTAAATTTTGTAATGGTTGTTTTCTTCTCCCTCTTATTCTTTTCCACTGATCCATCTTTTATTTTTTCTTCCATTTTTTTATTTGTTGTCATCATTTTTTTTTTGCTTATTTTTGTTCTTTAATCATTTCTTGTGTCTTTATATCCTTCAACTTACTATTTTTTTTCTAATTTCCTTTACATTATTTTTTTCGGTACATTTTTAAGATTTCTTATAAACATTTTATTATTATTTTTTAAAATACTAACTTTTTCCATTTCAGATTTTTTTATAAATATATTCAATAGTTAAAGTTTATCTTTCTTTCTTGTTATATCGTCAAATTAATTTTATAATGATAGATATAAATTCTTATGTAATGTTTTTTAATAAATGTATTATTAATGTCAAAATAATTCAAAATTTTAAAAATGCACCAAAAAACTAAACCTACACCCATTAATATAAACCCCACCCTAAACCCTAACCCTACATTATAAACCCTCTTCCCCTCCTCTAAATCCCATGGATAATTTTCAAAACTACACCTCTTGAGGTGTCAATTTTCAAAAATACACCTCTATGGTGTTCATTTTCAAAACAACAATTTTTCCATGGAGTAAAAGAATTCTAAACCCTAAAATATAAACTCAAAACCCTAAAATCTAACACTGAACCCTAAACCCTAAATCCCAAAATCTAAACCCTAATCTAGGATTAGTGAACCCAAACATATATATTAAAATTAGAAAAATGTGTATTTTTGAAAATTTCCACACTATAGGTGTAGTTTTGAAAATTTGCATCTCAAGACGTGTATTTCTTAAAATTTCTCAAATCCCATCCTAAACTGTACCCCATATCCTAAACCCTAACCCCACATTAGAAACCCCCTTCCCCTCTTATAAATCCCACACCCTAAACTGTACTCCCTAACCTCAAATTACAAACTGGTTTTGGATTTTCTTTCTTTTTTGTTTTAACTTTCTTTAAAGAAATTAATGTTCTTTTAGTTTTAAATCGGCAATGCAAGTGTTAAATTGATAAAACAAAAAAAACTGATTTATATATATTTTAAGTTGTTGTTGGTTGTGGCTGAGAACATATATTTATAAATAAATTATCAAATACCAAGCACTATTATTTTGTCTCAAAGCACCACAACATATTAAAAACATTAAAAATTAAAAAAAAAATCACTAAGTTACAATTAATATATCTTGAAGCACCATACATATCAAATATCATAACTGAACACCAATACCCTGTGTTTTTTTCTTCTGCAATCTATACATCAAAATAAGAATGATACAATCATAAAATTATACATGAAGATGATTAAACTATAACAATTCGAGAAAACTGATTTGTACAAACTATGATTATCGAAAGATTCGTATTATAAACAAAGTGGTTGATCATAAACCCAAATATCATTTAATTTTTTCTCCCTCGAATTTTCTTTTTTCATCGCTTGATCTGACTTTTTTTTGTTCTTTCACTTTTCCTGTTTTTCTTCTAGCATTTTCTTTTTTATTTTATTTATTTTTTCTAACATCTTAATTTTCATTTATTTCTTTTGTCTCATCTTCTCCTTCTCATATTCTCCACTCTTGCGAATGATGTAAACTTGACTTTATACCCTGGTACTTGTAAGACTAATCTAAAAACAGTATAATCAGAGCACATAGAAGGAGTAACCAAGAGTTGAGTTCTAAGAAACTAATATCTAATTTTAATAACATGTGCAACCAACTAATCAATCATATAGATGATTATGAATCTTTAAATATGAAAAACTATCTAAGCTGAGAACCCAACGCTAATAAAATCATACCACGTTTAAGATCAAGACAAACAGTTTTTGATTTGGCCTTTTTTATAAAAATTAAAATATGAATAAAAATATAGTTTTCCAACTTCCTAGGATTATGGTAGTGTAATTCGGAATGAAAAAGGCTGGCAAAACTTTTTTGATATCTTGGAGACTCCATTAGAATCACACCAAACACCTCATTTAAGCCTCAAAAATTTGTTGATATCTCGGAGACTCCAATAGAACCACACTCATCCTGTTTATCCAACTACTGGAGATGTGGTAAGTCACACCATTTGAACTTCTTATTATTTTCATAGACGTGTCTGTTCTATGTGAATGAACTGATCTATGCTCGTTGTGTTGCCTTGCTTACCGTCACTGGAAACATTTTTCTGCTTAGTCTCTGACTCTTTTTTGTTTTCCAGGACTATTTAGAGTATGATATTATATTCAGCCTATTTAGAGTGTAATGTTTTTACAGGCAAAACAATCGAAGAATCAAGTGGTGATGGTACTAGCACAGGCAAAACAATCTGAAGAATCAAGTGGTGATGGTACTAGCAATGCTGTGGGAGCTGGAATCCGCACAATAGTTTCAAGAGATGATTTTAGAGAGAGTCTAGAAATTCAAAGAATAACACAAACGAAGATTCAAAGATGGTTTTTTTATTGATGTAAAGTTTAAAGTATTGGGTGATGCGTAGCAAAGGAAAAGTGATCTCTAAACTCATTTGGTTCAATCTTTATTTATACAAGATGTGGAACCGACTTTCCGAGATTATCAAATATACTCTCAAGATTCGTTGTTATCTCTTGCGGCGCCTCTAACTTGATGCTTGCAATCTAGGGCAAATTGTGGATCGTCGTCATGGGCCTCTGATTGTTAGAGGTAGATGTTGGTTCGGCCCAAGAACGGTTCGGCCCATATTTGATGTCGCATGGTTCGCAGCTCGTCGGCATGATGATAACTCTGTTTCGTTGCAGGTTTGTCAACGTGGATTGCTGTCGTCAATGCATAGTTCGCCGTAGTACTTTCGCATAGCTCGTTGGCGAAAAGACTTGGTTCTTGTTCGAGCTCAGCGCACAGTTCGTAGTTCTCCATGACGCAGCTTGCCGTTGCTCGCGTAAATTCTCCATAGTTCGTCACGACCGTAGCTCGTCATAGCTTGGATCGCCGGATTCACAGTTTTCCATGATTTGTGGACGTTGAGCTCGTAGGGAGGATTCCGACCCCAACAGTTAGCCCCCAGCTCATTAGATTTAGGATAAGAGTGATGAGCTAAAAAGAACATAGCCGAGATCGATGTTAAAGTGTAACTGGCGCCTAGACCTGAGCTATGACCGCGGTTAAAACATTTTCTGCGGGAGAAATTGTCACAGTGAGCAGCGAGATCAGTTCGTTTCTGAGGTAGCTTGATGGGAGTGGCAGTTCACCATCACATGAAGATTTGCAGCGAGCCGTAGTTTGCCGACTACGATTTGCACTGAGGCGAGCTCCCTTGCATTTATCGCGGACAGTGGTTCACGCACTTAAGGTTGGTCGGGTTGATCATTTGCGAGCCGCAGAGTTGGGATGTCGTTGAGTGATGTACTTGCATTTTACATAGTTTTAGCACATCTTTTATGCATCTTTTGCATAGTTTTAGCTTCCATTTGCATCATATCTTGTTCCTTTTCTCTTCTTATGCATTCATGTTAGTTTTAGGTTGCATTTGCATACATATGCATGTTTGGTCCTTTGAAATAGGTCTTTTGGAGCATTCTGGAGCATATGGGACAAGGAGCATGGAGGGACTTGGCACATGGAAGCAGCTCAACTGGACACGCAAAGGAAGAAGGGAGAAGCCATCTTGAAGACCAGCTCGACCGTCTACTCGACCAACCGGTCGAGTTCCTCAACTCGACCGGCCAAGCTTCAACTCGATCGAGCTGAGAAGTCAAAGTCAAACCCGAAAAATGTTGCTTCCCCCTTGACTTTCCTTTGACCCTAAACCTAATCCTCTTGTATTTAAAGGCTCTAAGCCACGAAAAAACCACCAAGCTTTAGATTATTTTGTTTTAGTTTCTTTTAATTTATTGTCTTTTACTTTTTAGAGATCTAATCCCATCTTTGTGTTCTTGAAGCTCTTGCTTCTTGAATCCTAGATCCTGGATAATCTCTTTGTATTTGCACTTGCTTATTTCAATAAAAGTTGTTTAATTTCATCTCCTCTTTCTTATGATGTCTCTTTTATTGCATTTGCTTGTGTTTACATTCATGTGTAGTGAGTAGTTACCCATTAGGGTTTGAGATGGGATAGATTAGAGGTTTCATATGCTTAATCCTTCTAGCTTATGGTCTTAATCTAGATTCTCTCTCTTTTGGATAGATCTTAAGGCTACATGACCACTACCCCTGGCTTGTAAGTCCTTAGGCGACTCCCCACACGAAAGTGATGGCATTCGCTGGAAAAGATCCACTAAGAGCTCCAATATCTCTTGCTCTAGACAATAGAGGTCTAAGGGGTTGGATGGATTAGTTTGGGCAATGATCCTATAGCCTCCAAGGTTTGATTCTCACTGGCTAACCCCCTGTTTCTGAGATCATTCCTTGGTTGATAGCCTCCACCTTGGGAAAGGGTTGGCTAGGCATTGAGAAGCCCAATATCAAGAGAAGCCTTGATACAAGGAGTTTTAAGAGCTAGATTGATTAAGTGTAGATTCCTTTGATTGCAAAACCCTGTCTTGAACCCTAATTCTCTCTTTATCTTGTTAAAGTCGTCACCTTTAGCTTTGTTTGTCTCAACTCGTCCCTAAACTCGATCGAGCTGGTACTTTGCTCTGACTCGACTCGAGCTCTTGGTCGAGCTGACTTCACTGCTTTGTTTACTTTTATTGCACTGCTTTTCATTTTTTTAGGTTGTTAGTGTTACTTCAAATCTATTAACTGCTTGCTTGACTTTCTGGTTGTTTCATATTCTCATAGAGTGACAAGTTTCCCATTTTGGATTGATAACCTCTTATACTACATGACTATGATGGTTAAGAGGAATTGATTGATTGTGATTGCACCATTTCATCTTTATTCACCCCTGTTTGCATTCCACCTCATATTTCATTCATATCATCACACACAAAATCCTATCATCAATTTGGCGCCGTTGCCGATTTGGGAATATTTTTGTTGCATTTGAGTTTCAAACACACTTGGACGATCAAGCTATACCACCCCTGTTCTATTGTACTGCTGGGTTTTTGTCTCTTTTTGCAGGTGTATGCGAACTCGATCGAGTCGGTCTACAGAGACTTGGTCGAGCTAGACTTACAACGGGTAGAAAGAGGGTTCAGAGGTCACAGAGGGTACAAGAGGAACCTGAGGTGCTTGTTGCTGATACAATGGATGTACCAGAGGGGAATGGAAACCCTTTGGGAATGGACTCGGTCGAGCTAGGCAAACTCGACCGATTGGTCAAGGAGATGCTCCAAACCGCCACCAACAGAGACAAGGGATTGTTCCACCACCAGTGCAGAACCACAACTTTGAGATCAAGCTGGGAATGATCAACCTTGTCCAGAACAAGATGTTCCATGGATTGCCAAGTGAAGACCCCATTGACCACCTTGATGAGTTTGATAGGCTTTGTGATTTGACAAAGATCAATGGTGTCTCTGAAGATGCCATCAAGCTGAGACTCTTTCCTATGTCTCTAGCTGACAAAGCTCACCAATGGGAGAAGAGCTTGCCCCATGGCACAATCACCACTTGGGATGAATGCAAGAAGGCCTTTCTTGCTAAGTTTTTCTCCACCGGTCGCACAGCCAAGCTTAGAGGAGAGATATCCAGCTTCATCCAGCGAAACAATGAGACATTCGCAGAGGCTTGGGAGAGGTTCAAAGGCTACACAAGTCAGTGCCCACACCATGGATTCAACAATGAATCACTACTCTCCACTCTTTATAGAGGATGCTTGCCTAGGTATAGGGAGATGCTAGACACAGCTAGCAATGGGAACTTCCTCAACCAGGATGTAGATGATGGCTGGCAACTTGTGGAGAACATAGCTAACTCAAATGGAAGCTATGGAGAAGAGTATGATCGCACCAACCGGAGCTCGACCCACCACTCGATCGAGTCAGACGAAAAGTTGAGAAAAGATGTTAAGGCATTGAATGAGAAGTTGGATAAGCTGATCCTAGCTCAGTCCACAATGAAGAAAGTCAACTTTGTGTCTGCTGAGGAGATGGAACCAGTCCAAGAAGGGGAGGATACACAATTTGCTGAGGTGTGCTACATGAGCAATGGGCAAGGAGGTTACAACAAAGGATACTATAATTACAAGTCCAACCCTGCCATGTCATACCGCAACACTGATGTTGCTAACCCTCAGGACCAAGTCTATCCTCAACAACAAGCAGCTCGATCGAGTCAAGCCACAACATGGGTATGGTCAAAAGAACAATTACCAAGGACCACAAGGCACTTTCCCTGGACAACAAATGAATATCCCACCAGGCTTCTGATGTACTTGCATTTTACATGGTTTTAGCCCTTCTTTTATGCATCTTTTGCATAGTTTCATTCACCCAAAGCATCATTTCTTGATGTTTTCCCTTCTTTTGCATACATAGTAGTTTTAGGCTTGCATTTGCATACATGTGCACGTTTGATGTCTTAATCAGGTCATTTGGAGCCAATTGGAACATTGCCTATCACTGGAGACTAGTTGAGGAAGGAAAGACTCTGTCTGCCCCATGTACGGACCCGCACTCGGTCGAGCTAGTGAGATGCGTCCGAAGTATCGTATCAAATGAAGGGTTTCCACTCGATTCAGCCTCTGACTTCTTCTTGGAAGTTGTGGATAATTGAGTTAGCTTTCGTCTGGAGGTGGTTTCATGTCATTCGGACCAGCGGTTCAGAAGATACGACGATATTGGTTGGACTCGACCCACCAGCTCGACCGGCCAGTTTCCAACTCGATCGAGCTGCTTTTCCAGGAGTCAAAGTCAAACCCGAAAAATGTTGCTTCCCTTTGACTCCCCTTTGACCCTAAACCTAGTTTGCTTTACTATAAATGGCATTGAGCCACGAATTAAACATAGCTTTTGCTCAACTTTTAATTAATCTTGTATTTGCATTTCCTTTTTACTTTTTAGCCTCTCTTTGTGTTCTTGAGCTCTTGCTCATAGAACCTAGATCTAGGCTTGTTATTGTGTTTTTGCACTTTGCTATTTCAATAAAAGTTGTTTATCTTTATCTCCTCTATCTTTTGATGTCTCTTATTGCATTTGGTTGTTTATTTCATCATGTGTAGTGAGTAGTTTCCCTTTAGGGTTTAAGATGGGATAGGTTAGAGGTTGTTTATGCTTAATCCTCTTGCTTATGTTCTTAATCTAGAAATCTCTCTCTTTTGGACAAACCTTAAGGCTACATGACCACTATCCCTGGCTTGTATGTCCATAGGCGATTCTCCACATGGAAGTGATGGAAATCGTTGGAAAAGGTCCACTAAGAGCTCCAATAACTCTTGCTCTCGAAATGGAGTTCATAGGGGTTGGATGGATTAGTTTGAGCAATGATCCTATGGCCTCCAAGGCTTGATTCTCACTGGCTAACCCCCTGTTTCTGAGATCAAGTCTTGGTTGATAGCTTTCACCTTGGGAAAGGGTTAGCTAGGCATTGAGAAGCTCAATATCAAGAGATAGCTTGAGTACAAGTTGTTTAAGAGCAAGACTGATTAAGTATAGCCTCCCTTTAGCTGCAAAACCCTGTCTTTAACCCTAATCTTCGCATTAGCATCTTAAAGTTTGCACCTTTATTGCTTTTCATTGCTTTCCTCTGTTTTTACACCAACTCGACCCTCAACTCGATCGAGCTCATCAACTCGATCGAGCTCTTGGTCGAGCTGCTTTTATTTACTGCTTTTGCTTGCATTTCATTTCATATTAGGTTGTTTAGTTGTTACATCCCTCCATTTAATCATTTGGCTTGACTTTCTTGTGTTTGCATATTCTCATAGAGCAACATCTCACCCTTATGGATTGATAACCTCTTATACTTCAATGACTATGATGGTTAAGAGGAATTGATTGATTGTGATTGCACCATACCATCTCATCTCTATTCACCCCTGTTTGCATTCCACCACATCTCATTTCATATCTATCACATCACACACAAATCCTATCATCAATTTGGCGCCGTTGCCATTTGGGTTTGTTACTGTTGCATTTGAGTTTCCAAATCACTTGAACGATCAAGTACTATCCCACCTTTGTTGCTTGTACTGCTGGGTTTTTGACTGTTTTGCAGGTGTATGTGAACTCGATCGAGCTCATCAACAGAGAACTTGGTCGAGTTAGACATCAACATAGGCAGAAAACAGAGAAAGAAGAGCCAGAGGCAACAAGTTCAGTCAGAGGTGCTTGTTACAGATACTATGGATATACCAGAGGGTAATGGAAACCCTCTGGGTAATGGAAATGGTCGAGCTAGGCAGACTCGACCGATTGGGCTTGGAGATGCACCAAACCGCCACCAGCAAAGAAGAGGGATTGTCCCACCTCCTGTCCAGAACCACAATTTCGAGATCAAGCTGGGGATGATTACCTTAGTCCAGAACAAGATGTTCCATGGATTGTCTTGTGAAGATCCCATTGATCACTTGGATGAGTTTGATAGGCTGTGTGATCTGACCAAGATGAATGGTGTCTCTGAAGATGCCATCAAGCTGAGACTCTTCCCTATGTCTCTTGGTGACAAGGCCCATCAATGGGAGAAGAGTTTACCCCATGGATCAATCACTACATGGGAGGATTGCAAGAAGGCATTTCTTGCCAAGTTCTTCTCTACTGGTCGCACTGCTAAGCTGAGAAGCGAGATATCTGGTTTCACTCAAAGGAACAATGAGACATTTGCTGAAGCTTGGGAGAGATTCAAGGGTTACACCAGTCAATGCCCTCATCATGGCTTCAGCAATGAGTCTTTGCTTTCCACACTTTACAGAGGAGTTTTGCCAAGATACAAAGAGATGTTGGACACAGCCAGTAATGGAAACTTCCTCAATCAAGATGTAGATGATGGCTGGCAGCTTGTGGAGAACATTGCTAACTCAAGTGGGAGCTATGGAGAGGAGTATGATCACAAACAGGAGCTCGACCTCCAACTCGATCGAGTCTGATAGTAAGCTGAGAAACGATGTCAAGGCACTCAATGAGAAGTTGGATACGCTTATCTTAGCTCAATCCACAATGAAGAAGGCCAACTTTGTTTCTAAAGAAGAGATGGTTCAAGGCCAAGAAGAGGAGGAGAATCAGTTTGCTGAAGTGTGCTACATTAAGAATGGACAAGGAGGTTATCAAAACGGTTACTATGGCTACAAGTCACACCCTACCATGTCCTACAGTAACACTGATGTTGCCAATCCTCAAGATCAAGTCTACCCTCCGCAGCAACAGGCTCCAGCGAGTCAGCCTCCACAGCAAGGATATGGTCAGAAAGGGAATTTCCAGGGCCATCAGGGAAATTATCAAGGACAACAGCAGAGTGTACCAACTGGGTATGCACCTCAAGCGCCTCAGGCTTCACCAAGTCAGGAACAAGAAATAAAAGCCATGTTGAAGCAGCTCTTACAAGGTCAAGCAGATGGTGCTATGGAGATAAGCAAGAAGTTGGCTGAGATGAACTCTAAGATTGAATCCTTGAACACTAGAGTTCACTCTTTGGAACACCATGCTTCTTCTTCTGCTGCTAAGCAAGGTCAATTTCCTGGAAAGGCTGTTCAGAATCCAAAGGAGCATTGTAGAGCGATCTTCACTCAAGAGGAAGGATTTGATCAACAAGCTGCTAATGAGAAGGATATTGAGGAGATCTGTATGCTGCTTAATAATGAAGACAATGTTGTTGCTGATGCTCTGGAGTCCAGTACGCTCAACCTGAAGTGCAAGCTCCTCAGATAGCTATCCACGCTTCACCGGTTGAGCTCGCACAACAAGCTCGATTGGCAGCTCGATCGAGCCAGACCGTCTCACCAGCTCGATCGAGTCAGATGCTTTATGCTCCAACACCATTGATGATGACACCTACAAGCCCCCTGTTCCATTTCCAAGTAGAATCCTTACCAAGAATCAGAAAAAAGTCATCACCAAGTTTAGGAATGACATGAGTAAGATTGGGGTTGAGCTACCAAATATGGGAAGTTTTCAAGCTGCTCATGTCCAAAAGAAGATGATTAAGGACATACTTGATAACAAGGACGAAGTAGCTCAGCTTTTGGAGCCCTCTTCTTCCCAGGGTGATCTCTTATCCACACCAACCTCACTACCCAAGCTGAATGGTCAGGGAAGCTTCACTCTGCCTTGTACACTTGGTCACCTACAACTTGAGGATGCACTTGTTGATTCTGGAGCAAGTATCAATCTGATCTCTCTTGTTCTAATACAGAAATTGGGTATACAGAGTCTGATCCAGCGACCTAAGTCTTCTATCATGTTTGGGGATGCTTCTTCTAAAGCCCCACTTGGTATTGTCATGGATTTCCCTTTGAGAATTGGAGAGTGCACAATCCCAATTGATCTAACAGTTCTGGATATGGTTGACGAGAAGGATGTGCCATTGATCTTAGGGACACCTTTCCTCACCACTGTTGGTGCCTCCATTGATTTCCATACAAAGAAAGTGATCCTGCACAATGTCAACAGCAAAGTCTCTTACCCTCTCAAGGCATCAAGCTCTAAATATTGTGGAACCATTGCCACTAAGTCACTGAGCATCAAGGGTGATGAGTTTGCTGAGGTTGAAAAGATGGAGATTATGACTGAGAGCAGCACAGAGCCAGTTATTTGTGAACCTTGTGTTCTGGATGAGATGGGTCTTGCAGCCATGTTTAGTGAGCAGCTAGGAAGTGCTCAAAAAGATGGGGAGGGTATGGCTTTGAAGGCGTCTCCTGGACATAAAAGAAAGATGATCACGCCTCAGACTCTCTCAAGCGCTCCATCCCAGCTTACCCTGACTCTGTTGCCATCCAAGTTCACAAATGGGAAGATTGAGTACAAGATCAAGTGCAAGAGAAAGTCTAAACCGTTTTCCAGTATCAATGCCTTGGTCAGTCCTGAGCTGCAAAAAGATCAAACCAAGCTCAAGGAGCTCCTATCTTCAGTCCTTACTGTCACATTTGATGGCGGGACCGCTCTCATTCATGCCTAAAAGGTAAAAGGTCAAGCTATGCGACCTAAAACAAGCTCACTTGGGAGGAATTCCCATGTCTATCTTGTATATAATACTTACATTTAAGTTCTTTGTAGTTGTTTCTTGTCTAAGGCTTGCAGGAGTTAGTTCAAAAGGGAAGCTATTCTGACTCGAGCACAGACTCGATCGAGTCCAATCTCACCACACCTATTTTGGCTTGATTGATGCCGTTATGATGCTATTGTCTCCTGCCCTCTCCAACTCATGACCTTGCTTCCCAGTTCTTTGGGGAGCACTAAGGTATCAAACTTTACCCTTGTACATACCATTTCATTTTCTGCATTTTTCTTTGTTTTTCCCTCTTGAATCTTTCTTTGACTTCTTTCACACAAGGGACTGTGTGATTTAAGTTTGGGGGAGGGTTCAAGAGATGATTTAACCTTGTTTATTTTGTTCTTAGTTTTTCATTCATCTATTTGCATAGAAAAACCAAAAAAATCATAAAATTTTCAAAAATCAAAAATATTTTCATCTTTTTGCATTCATATCTTCTTAGATTGTTTAGGATTGCATCTTTCATTTGCATTGTTGATTTGATTTTGAAAACTTGTTCATCATTTGCGATTTCTTAAGTGCCCATTTCTAGATTCTCTTGTGCATTAGGGTGAGATTGATTGAGCAGCAAGAACCATGTTTATCTTGATCATATCACTGCATGCACATCTCATTCAACCATTGCTGTGATTTGATGCATTTCCCTATCTATTTGAACCATAACTTGATCTTTAATTACCAATGCTTGCATTTGATTTCAACTCATGGCTACCACATACATATCTGGACATTCTTTACCTATTTTCATATCCCTCTTGCTTGTCCAGATAGCTGATCTCCATCTTTGAGACAGTTACCACACCTTAAACCTAAGCCTTTTTCATTTCAAACCCCATATTATCTCTTGTGCGATTGTGAGAACCTTTCTTGGCTTTGCTTAGCATAAGGTGTTGTGTTTAAACCGGCAGGGGCAGTAGTTCTAGTTGTCTAGTTCTCTTGGGATTGTTTTCAGGCTAAGTTTGGGGGTGCCAACTCGAGCTCGATCGAGTTGAGGTGTAAAAACCAGAAAAGTGGTAAAAGTTGGGAAAATCCAAAGGAAAAAGAGTTTAGTTAAGTCCAGGGAGTTGGCAGTGTTAAAAAGGGTCTAGTAAAGGTTTGGGAAGTTAAAAAAGAAAGTAAAAAGGGTTCTAAGTAGAAAGAAAAGAAGGCAAAGCCTCAAGTGTCAAAAAGGAAAGAAAAGTTCCCTAAGTGTTTAGAAAATCCCAAACCGCTAGATGTTACCTCAAGAAGCCTCTCCCTAGGATGTTCTTAAAAGAAAAGTGAGCAAAGCTCCTCAGTTTCAAAGGCGAAATGCCAAAAAGGGTAGTTAGGATTTTGTTCTAAAAAGCTCTAAGTGTTGAACTCGATCGAGTTAGGATTAGGCGGCTCGAGTTGCTGTCTTGCATCATCTTTGGTTCTAACACTTAGCCTTCTGCCAAAGCAAAGCCACTTTCTTGAGAGATCCCTGTTACTAAACCACCATACACTCAAAGAGACCTTCTTTGTCTCTTAACCCATAAACCCTTGAAACCAAATGAGTTGATTGATCTTGCATGTTTTTGGTTCACTTTTCTTAATGAATGTTAAAGGGATTTGCTGATTTGAATGCATTGTTTGAGTGACTGTGAAGTGGGATTGATGTTGATAAGCATGGTTAAATCTTAATGAATATCTCTCACCTTGTTGCATTCTAGAATCTCTAAGTTGACATTTAGCAAATCGCTTTTGAGGACATGTTTTTAAAGGTTGAATCAACTTGTTTTCAAACCTCATCTCTTTCTTGTTCTATTTGTTTGCTTGAGGGCAAGCAAAGGTCAAGTTTGGGGGTGTTGATGTACTTGCATTTTACATGGTTTTAGCATCTTTTATGCATCTTTTGCATAGTTTCATTCACCCAAGCATCATTTCTTGATGTCCTTTTCCCTTCTTTGCATACATAGTAGTTTTAGGCTTGCATTTGCATACATGTGCACGTTTGATGTCTTAATCAGGTCATTTGGAGCTAATTGGAACATTGCCTATCACTGGAGACTAGTTGAGGAAGGAAAGACTCTGTCTGCCCCATGTACGGACCCGCACTCGGTCGAGCTAGTGAGATGCGTCCGAAGTATCGTATCAAATGAAAGGGTTTCCACTCCGATTCAGCCTCTGACTCTTCTTGGAAGTTGTGGATAATTGAGTTAGCTTTCGTCTGGAGGTGGTTTCATGTCATTCGGACCAGCGGTTCAGAAGATACGACGATATTGGTTGGACTCGACCCACCAGCTCGACCGGCCAGTTTCCAACTCGATCGAGCTGCTTTTCCAGGAGTCAAAGTCAAACCCAAAAAATGTTGCTTCCCTTTGACTCCCCTTTGACCCTAAACCTAGTTTGCTTTACTATAAATGGCATTGAGCCACGAATTAAACATAGCTTTGGCTCAACCTTTTAATTAATCTTGTATTTGCATTTCTCCTTTTTACTTTTTAGCCTCTCTTTGTGTTCTTGAGCTCTTGCTCATAGAACCCTAGATCTAGGCCTTGTTATTGTGTTTTGCACTTTGCTATTTCAATAAAAGTTGTTTATCTTTATCTCCTCTATCTTTTGATGTCTCATTTATTGCATTTGGTTGTTTATTTCATCATGTGTAGTGAGTAGTTTCTCTTTAGGGTTTAAGATGGGATAGGTTAGAGGTTGTTTATGCTTAATCTCTCTTGCTTTATGTTCTTAACCTAGAAATCTCTCTCTTTTGGACAAACCTTAAGGCTACATGACCACTATCCCTGGCTTGTATGTCCATAGGCGATTCTCCACATGGAAGTGATGGAAATCGTTGGAAAAGGTCCACTAAGAGCTCCAATAACTCTTGCTCTCGAAATGGAGTTCATAGGGGTTGGATGGATTAGTTTGAGCAATGATCCTATGGCCTCCAAGGCTTGATTCTCACTGGCTAACCCCCTGTTTCTGAGATCAAGTCTTGGTTGATAGCTTTCACCTTGGGAAAGGGCTAGCTAGGCATTGAGAAGCTCAATATCAAGAGATAGCTTGAGTACAAGTTGTTTAAGAGCAAGACTGATTAAGTATAGCCTCCCTTTAGCTGCAAAACCCTGTCTTTAACCCTAATCTTCGCATTAGCATCTTAAAGTTTGCACCTTTATTGCTTTTCATTCGCTTTCCTCTGTTTTTACACCAACTCGACCCTCAACTCGATCGATCTCTTGGTCGAGCTGCTTTTATTTACTTCTTTTGCTTGCATTTCATTTCATATTAGGTTGTTTAGTTGTTACATCCCTCCATTTAATCATTTGGCTTGACTTTCTTGTGTTTGCATATTCTCATAGAGCAACATCTCACCCTTATGGATTGATAACCTCTTATACTTCAATGACTATGATGGTTAAGAGGAATTGATTGATTGTGATTGCACCATACCATATCATCTTTATTCACCCCTGTTTGCATACCACCTCATTTCATATCTATCACATCACACACAAATCCTATCATCAGCTTCCCCCACCAACCGCCCCAGCCTGCACCTTCACAAGAGAATGAGCTCAAGGCAATGCTAAAGCAACTACTTCAAGGGCAAGCTGATGGGGTAGTGGACACAAGCAAGAAGCTAGCTGAAATAAACTCTAAGATCGAGAACCTCAACACAAGGGTTTACTCTCTGGAGAATCATGCTTCTTCTGTTGCTGCTGCTACAAAGCAAGGACAACTACCTGGTAAAGCTATTCAGAACCCCAAGGAACAGTGCAAGGTCATCTTCACTCAAGAAGGACTTGTTGAAGAAGAGGATCAAGAAAGGGTCATTGAAGATTTTTGTTTACTGCTGAATGATGAAGAGATTGTTGCTGCTGAGGCTCCTGGAGTCCAGATTGATCAACCAGAAGTGCAGGCACCTACTGTGGCCATTCACACTTCACCAGTTGAGCTCGCACACAAGCTCGATCGGCAGCTCGATCGAGTCCAACTCTAGCTCGATCGAGTCCGACCTCTTCTGTCCGACAGCCTTTTTGCTTGATCCTTACCAACCGGTTGCCGCTTCCTCGTCTCGCCTACTTAGTCAAGGTCACAAGGAAGTGATTCACAAGTTCAGAAGAGATCTCAGTGGGATTGGAATTGAGTTGCCTCCTATGGATAGCATGAGTGAGGCATTTGATCAAATGCAAATGGTCAAGGATGTTCTAGCCAACAGTGATAAAGTTTCAGAGGTCCTACAAGAGTCTACTCATCAGTTCAACCTGCTTACTTCACCCACCTTCCTACCAAAGGTCAAGGATCAAGGGAAATTCACTCTCCCTTGCACACTTGGGCATCTTGAGATTGACAATGCCTTAGTGGATTCTGGAGCAAGCATCAATCTGATCTCTCTCTCCATGGCAGAGAAGCTAGGCATTGCTGGAGCCTTGCAGCGCCCTACTACTTCAATCATGTTTGGAGATGCAACTTCTAAGTCTCCTCTTGGAGTGTTCAAGAACTATCACTTGAAAATTGGAGAATGCATCATCCAAACTGATCTCACTGTGATGGAAATGGAAGAAGAGAAGGATTTACCTCTGTTATTGGGAACCCCTTTCCTTAGTACAGTTGGCGCTTCAATAGACTTTCACAAGCAAGAAGTGATCCTTCACAAGGTGAATAGTTTGGTGTCATATCGCTTGCAGCCTAGAGGTTCAGACTTTTGTGCCACAATTGACAGTACCACTCTCAGTTCTAAGAGTCATGGAGCTACAAAGGTTGTGAAGGAAAGGGTTGACAAGGAACCAAGAGTTGGGAAGGATAAGGATGAGAGAGGACCAAGGATTGAGAAGCCACGTCTTGAGAGGGCTAGAGTTGAGAAACCACGTTCTGAGAGACCACGAGCTGATAGACTTGTTCAAGCCCCTTGTGTGCTTGATGAAGAAAGCCTTCAAGCTTTGTTTGATGAGCCACTAGGAAGGGCTCTAAAAGAAGGGGAGGATGTAC